GACAGACAAAAATTAAAGATTGCATGTCTAGTTGTTTGTAATATGAAAATGCGATATAGGATTAATAAACCTTTTAGACTAAAAAAAGGTGAAGTATGACATGAATTTATTAATTATATCAAATATCATAAGGTATTTAAATTTTTTTTTTGTATTAGTAACTGTTATACTTGAGTAAGATTAAAGAAACAAAAAAAAAAGAAATAATCTCGACCGACAATAGTAAAAAATAAAATGCAAAAAAACTGAAAGTATTTAGTCAGCAAATGTTGCCCAAAAATCAAAAAATGGGAATTTCTAAACTTTCAGAAAACTATCAAGAGAACTGTAAGACTTTCTCGTGAAAACCAAGATTTAACCAATAGTGCTCTCAAAATTCCACTATTCATAACAGCTAAAGTAACACCTATTTCTTTAGTGTTATGTATGTGAGAGAGAAAAATATCATGGATAACATGTTATTTGGATCTTAGCATTCAAAAAATAGTGGAGAGAGATGATTGAGAGGAAATTTCTTTTTCTTATAAGTTGGGGTAGTCTTCATAAAAAATGTGAAAATAGAATGATAGTAATTAAAAAGAAAGCCCTCAAGAAATGTGACGGATAACAACATCTTAAGACACACGATAATATTTTCCTCCTTTCAGCCTTTCGAACTCTAGAATAAAGTAAAGATTATTATCAATTCTTTATTCCACATGACCAAACGTATATTGAGTGGTTGATGCTCAATGTCTAAAAATACGCTAATCAAGCAATGTATTTGATGTAGGAAAGAATTATTCAATAATCATCTATCATATTATTATCTAGTGTAGGATGAGTTGATATAGGCGTATACAATCGAAATTAGAAGATGAATCATTTTTCATCTTTATTGTATAACAGTGATATGATGACAAATGAACAATAAAGAAATATGTCTATTAATGTATGTGGCCAATTAAATCTTGCTTTTTTTTCTTGTTGGATGATATCTTCATTTTTATCATTTGTTATTTGTAAAATTTTGATCTTTACATTCAACGTGTGTCATCGAACAACTCTAATCAACAAGGTAGGAGAGTAAAAGTAATAATCATCGTTTTTTAAAGAAATAATGAGGAAAAAAAACAACTTATTACTTGGTTAATTGAACAGCGGTAACTACAAAACATGCCTGAATACTTAGCGGTATATAATGATACGGATTATCAATCAAATGATATGCTATGTTTGATTCTATCGTCTTCCAAATTATAACGTAGCTTCAAAAAGATAAGTCGAAGTACTATTTTATATTATGTGTTGATTAATCATTATGTTCTAATTTAATCGACCACAGTGATGGTTCAATTAATTGGTAATATGTGTGGACTTTGTGTAATTAAGCTCGCAATAGCTATTTTGTTATTTATTCATCTTATTTCATTATTTCTTAGTCCAAGTACACACGAAGAATCTGAACAATATGAATATAAAACTGCTCAAGTATGGTAAATTTTATTGTGTATGCTACCGCTCTCGATTTAGATTATTATATTGATGACTACAGTTTAACAATTGCATTTCAAATTCAACAAATAGGATACAACATTCAGCTCTACAATAATAGTTCGATTATCTAACTTTACTTATACGAAAACATCTCCTAATATTGTCATCAACACAATAGAGGATGTGTGTGTAATGAGTATCCTGTTTTTATGAAATGCTTTCCATGCTTTTTCTAGCGATCCTAAAGGCAGACATATTTGACAATTATGCTCTTAGTGAAGCGGTAAGTTCGCAAAATACTTTTAGTTCTAGTTCACAAGGAAACTATGCTTGTCGTCAATGACATTCAGATGGAATCAACGTATACTTAATTTCAACCGTAGAGTTAGAAAAACATACTCTGCTTGATCACTGTGTTCGATAGCTTCATTATGGATATGAGAAGTACTTATTATTACAACTCATCATACGTAGAACATTTCCGTTACAATTATTTCTAATACAATAATATTCCGAGATGCTGATTTTCCTAGATTAAACGCTCAAAACTACATTTAGATATAATACGTTCTTATTGTCAGATCAAAATATTGATCATCTATACAAATTTTCCAGTCAAAATCAACAGTACATCCTTTCTGTTATCATTTCTCTCCATTATTGTTATTTACTTTTTATATTTATTCTAAAAATAGATGTTTAATTATATAACTTCATCTAAACATTTAATCCCTATCAAAGTGAAAATATGTTGTATGCACAGATGTGTTATTGTGACCAAAATATATTGTTTTTTAAATGTATTTTCTCTTTTTTTTCTGTCAAGCATCAAACTTTAATAAAAGAATCTCTGAATCAAAAAAAATCAGATATGAGATTATGTAAGGTCAGATGAAATCGTACACCAAATTGTACTATAAAATACTTATAAGAGCTTACCGTCATATAAGATTTTCTATGATCTTGCAGTCATATTCTACAAGGCAGCAAGATCTTTCAAGAACCTTATAATATCACTTAGTGTAAGATTTCTGAGAATAAACTTTCTTCTGATCTTACAAGATTACCGATACGATCTTGTAAAATCTTACTATCTGATTTTTGACTTCAGTCTGTTTCTAAAAGTTGTTTTTATAAGGAATTTTCATTACATAGAACTTAAGTTTTCCAGACAAATTAAAACGATAAAACATGTATTCGTGATATTCATATTATGGGACGACAATGATGGAGAGAAGTGATCAGAAAAACAGTTGTACTGTTTATTTTGCAGAGACGATATTTTTATGTTGTTATTGTAGAATCAGATGTTCGATATTCTTATGTTTATCCAGATAGCTTCGGTTATTAATACGGCTATAAAATCTGCCAATTTGAAGTAAAATAAAAGCTTCTATTCTTGTGAATATTTTACTTATAAATGCATAGGATAAGTAAAAATATTTCTCTAAGAAGATAACGCTGTGATTTTAAATATAATCAACAACAAATTTTATACTAACTCAAAGTACGTCGAAAATGAAATTTATCAATATTAAATTGTAGGAATAGTGACAACGTATTAATGCCAAAGTCAGAAAACGCTTGACATTTTATACCATATCAGTAGCACTATATAGCAATTGTTCTCGAGCTTTTTACTTTCTTGACCCATTACTTGTGTCTCTATTTTGTGTCATGATGATGTAAAGATCGAAAAGTCGTACGATTTTCGTTCAAACGTTGTTACAAAGTTCCATATTCTCGTATAATCAACCTTTTTTCGAAACTTCGATAAGAAATTCTGGTTTATCACCAGTCAAATCACAAATATCTAATGGAAAAATAGACTTAGAAACGTAAACGACAAGGAGTCTCATCTCACTACATACATGACTTAGAATAGATTTCTCATTAAGTTTATTCATTATAATAAATGTCATACAAAATCGTGCATGATACGACCTAAATGACGTTTCATTAAGTTTTTTGCTTTTTTTGATCTTGAACGATGAGCTAAATTATATATAGTTCTATTCTCAGTTTCTTTTCATGGCAAATAAATGTGTTGAAGTATAGTGTTGTTAACCGTTGTTAAATAATCATTTTGCATATAATGAAGACTTTCATGGGTTTTGATATGTTTTAGTTGAGCAAATAAATCAATAATATTTTTATGACAGAATTCAAACAATGAGATTCAATATGGAACAATATTCATGTAAATAAATCTTTTATAAACATCATCTGGTTCTCAAGTAACAAATCTTTCAAGCTATTTTCTTATTGAACTATATTCTTTCAATGAGTTCAATAATAGAAAAATCAAAGAATATTTTATAATTCGTTTGACAAAGATTATTATTTAGTGATCTTTAAAAATAAAATTTCGTACAAACATTCCCATATGCAAGTCTTAAGGCGAACAGATTTAAATAAAATTTTATCATTAAAAATTTGACCAACATGAAGAAAATTTTGACGAAGAATTTTCTCAACTAAACTTGATTTATCAGATGTATCAAATATTGACATTTTCTGTCGTGAATATCTCAACAAGCGAAAGTTAGAAAATACTGGTTCAAATGTAAGAATAAAAGAACGAAGACAGCAACCAAATTTAGTCGTCGTTCTTCTTGCTTATGCCTATAGATGATGAATTACATATTAACGAAACAGTCAATTGACATGATTCGATAGAAACATATCGATGCCCATCAAACGAGTTCACCTAATAATGCATTTTATCATATGTAATTTTCAATTCATTTTCTACTTCGAATAGCCGATTGACCGCAGTGCAAATAATTCGAGTTTCCGAACGGATCGACAGGAAAAGAATTTCTTACTGTGAACTATTAATATCTGGTGCGAAAAAGCGCTGTTTGATTTATCGTAGAAATAATTATTCTTGATTCATTAGTTATCCTTTTTCACGAGAAATCAGATTCAAAGCTTCATAATACATTTCACAATCGAGGAGAACTTGAGTGCCATCTAGTATTAATCAGTGTTTCTTAGCTGTCAACTGTTTAATCGAAACAGTTTTCAGATATTTATGTTATATTGTCAAATCATATTCAAAAAAACAAGTCACTATAGTTTCTTTTTATATAATATTCACAACATTAAAAAAAAACACTTTTTCCTCGACTATTTCAACTTTAATAAATGTAAAAATTGTATCATATCATATAATTCAGAGTTATCATTTTTATAGATAATCAAATTTCGGTAAAAGACTATTTAACATAAATTTCATTTTTATTTATGTAACAGAAAAAATATGCTGGAAAAGAATTTTTTTTTCGGTGAACAAAAAAAAACTAAAATGGAATATGTCAGTAATATCAACGACACAATAGAAGATTAATATTTTTTTTTTCTTGTAAAAAACAAATTAAATAACGAACAATAATAAAAGTATTTAAACAAAAAAATCACTTCTCATTAATCTATCGTATGATGTAATAACAATAAGAAGTCAATAAAAAACTATCGGTGGGATATAAATAAAAGATGAATAAAAGTTTCTTTTTGTTTTCTCACTTATGTAAAAACGTCCTTTGAGATGTAGCTAATTGTCCAAGAGCTGAATTAAGTCCAGCTAAATGATTAAAAAATATTTGTTTTTCTACTTGAACAGCTATATTTTGCATTTGAGCTTCTTTCAAAATACTTTGTACCTAAATAAGAACAAGAAAACATTTTAAAAAATCACATTAAAAAAAGAATAAAACAAAAACTAACTTGTGAAGTAACCAGTTGTTCATCACCATCATTCGAAATTTGTATATGAATAGTTCCAACAGTAGTTGATGATGAAAGCTTCCAAAAATGTTCATCAGAATATGATAGAACCTTATCAAGTTTACTTATACGATCAAGAATTTCATATTGAATATCGGATGGAGTTTGTAAAAGAAGTGTCATAGCACTATCTTTTAAAAGTGGCAGTACAGAAAGAAAGATCATTACTGATATAAATAATGAACATATGGGATCCGATATATACCAGCCAAAATATTGTATAAGTAATGATGAAATGATAACACCAACCTGAAATTTATAAATAGGAAATCATGTTCTTTATTGTTTGCAAGTTACTCACACTGCCCAAAGTATCAGCCAAGACGTGAAGAAAAACACCTAAAAATAAAGAAAATTTTAATCATTCGTTTTCGACTGAAAAAATGTTAGGAACTTGGAAGCAAGAATCTAGTTATCACTTTTGCCTAGAACTAGAACAATCTAACTACCGGAATCATCGATTTGAGTTGATATTAATAATTATTTATAGATCTATTTTCTTTCATGAAATCACAGAATTTCTAATTTAAATTAATTAGAATTACCTTTCATATTAGCATTGTCAGTGAGTGAATGACTATGTCCATGATGACTTGATTTTTCATTTGATCTATGTGAATGTCCATGATCATGATGATCACTACCACCACCATGTGAATGTGAATGAGAATGATCATGATGATGTTGTTCTTTAGCTACACTTGGTTGACTCATGGGACAACTACCACCACCACCTCCGCCATGAGCATGTGCATGTGCATGACTGAATGAAAAAATACCAATCATATTAACAGCAAATCCCGCAACGGAAACAACTAGTAAACGATTTGTATTAATTTCTGGTGGTTCAAAAATACGACCTATGGCTTCATAGAAGACGAAAAATGCCACAACAACAAGAAATAAACCATTAACAAAACCCGATAGAACTTCAACACGACCATATCCATATGAAAATACTCGTGTAGGTTTCCAACGAGTCATAAGAGCTGCATAAAGACCAACAACAAGTGCTGTACAATCAAATAACATATGAAAACCATCACTAATCAAACCAAGTGAATTTGTCCAAGCGCCATACAATAGTTCAACAAATGTAAACATCTATAATAAATTGTAAAAACAAAAATAAAATGTTTGTTTTTTTTTCATGATAATTTTTGCATATCATTTTACTTACGAGATTAATACAAAGAAAATAAAAAATTTTTCTTGAATCGGATTCAGCAAGAATATCTCTCAAACTTGATCGTATAATAAGTAATAATGATTGTGATCGTTGATGTGTTAAATTAAATAATGGTACACCATCTTGACTATAACCAATAAAAGCACCTGATCGTTGTTTAATTGGACTTAATAAAAGATCTGTTGCAAAAATAAACATAACAATAGAAAATACAACACCACCAGATAATGAATGTTCTTCTGGTACAATTTTTCCAATATTTCCACCAAGCCATGCTGAATTATGATTGATTACTGTTGCCGATTTTACCCAAAGAAAAGATGCAATAAGTGCACCACCAATCATAGTAAATGTGCCATATCGAAATGTTCCTAATCGTTCAAATTTCACAACAGCTATTTGTTCAATATAGAAATCAGAAACAAATAATAATATACTGATAACTATTAATGGAATAATTAATGATACAATAGTACCAAAAAATGAAGATGATGTTGATGATGGTAATGTCGTTTCAAATTGTGAACGAATTGAATCCATTGAATCTGGCTAAAATTAAAAAAGAAAAATGTAATAATTTTTATTGTAGAAAATGAAATAATTTATTCGTACAAAAATATTATTAATTAATAACATAATAAATGATGTAGGTATAAGACATGCTGTTGATAAACATGTGGTAATAGCATAAAATTTTTTTGGTCCACCAACATCAAGTACTAATTTTTTATTTAATGAATCGATTGTACATCGTAGAAATAAAGCAATAAGTAATAGAATAACACCACCTTTATGATCACCAACACCAACAAATGATGTTAATCGATAAAAAACATGTGCAAATAAACGATGATGTGAATGACCTTCAGGATGATCTAATATCTATATTTATAAGAAAAACAAGCAAACAGAGAGATAAATAAATAAATAAATTTATTTATTTATAAAAATCATACTCGTTGTCTTGCATCATCATTATCAAATGCAAATATTGCTAGAACAGCTAAGAGAAAAAAAACAACACCACGTATCCTTGATGTTTGTCCTTGTTGTGGTATACCAATTCCATTTGATGATGAAAATAATACATGAAAACATGCAAGTATAACAAGATCACTATGTTCGAATAATAATATTGTTCTTAATGGTCCACATAATGTTAAACCAAAAAACCATAGAACACGAACTATTGTAAGAAATATTGTATATTTAATTAAACGAAATACTATGGTTTTATTTAATCGAATTGATGAAAATGGTTTTTGTATAAATAATAAACAAATTGAAGCAATTAATGTAATAAGAAAAAGAATTAACATAAAATGATATGATTTTAATAAATCATAAGTTATAAATAATGCAAATGTTTTTAAAATTTTACTTATTAGAAGTAAAATAAATATATGTAAAACATCACCGAGTGGACGAGACTTTGATGTTTTCGAAAAATCATCTAACATTGGATTAAGCATTTCTTTTCTATCTTAGCTTTTTTTTTATAATAAGAATAAATATTAACAAGACATACTATTGATTTTCTATTTGATTTTTAAACGCAAAATATTAAATAGGTATGATCCTGATCTGTAACAAAAAAAAAGATTGACGTGTGGCAAAAATAAGTGATTGGACAGTGATGAGACAACTACAAATAACAATATTTCGTTACTATAGTTGTCACTTTATGACGAAAGGACAGAACACAAATCTTATCGAACGTATAAATGAATGAAAAGCTATTCCAGAGTGTTCTAGAAACCTATCGCAATCAATAATAGCTCTTCAACATTTTAAATGGTTTTGCACGAGTTTTCTATAATTTTATTTTCTTTTCCGTTAAGTTTTATTTGACTTATTCAGATCAAATGTATATGACTATAAACATAGAAATTTTAATAACTTCATTTATGGTAAAATTTAAGTCAGTCGTGTTTTGTAAAACGAAACTTGTGAGCTGGATTCCATGAAGAAACTGATACTTGAGAAAACGAACCATATTACTGGACGTCTTATAGATTTAACAGAAAAAGAAAATCTAAGTGTTTCATTATTTTTAGTAAAGGTGTATCAGCATCCAATGTACTAGCTGTTTGAAATGCTCTTTTTTTTCAATAATATTTTGAATTACAAAAGAATACAATATGATTAAAAGTTTATTAGTCGTTAACAAGAAATAAAAGAAAGGAATTGCATTCGTACATATTTCATCAGTTTGGTTCTTGTCTTTATTTGTAATTTATAGATGAAGATTCGATTCGAATATAATATTTGAAGGACAGAAAAGTGAAGAAGTAATAACTAAACTGAACTTGATTGCCAGTAGATAATTAAGATGACCAGAACTAACAACAGCATGAATTTCTTTGGTTGACTAGTTTCAGAGCTATATAAGGATATGGGTGTAAATTGCTGATGAAGTTTTCGTTCAAAGTGTCGAGTCAAAACTAGACATGAGTTAATAGTGTACAGTTCCACAGCATTGGAAACATAAACGTAAGCATATATATCGAAAACGAGATAAATAGATGTATGGAGAGCATTATAACTTGAACCATTATTCTTCATAATACTAGCTTCTAAAGTCAAGCTATTTGATGCATTCGAAACCTATTTTTGGATGCAAATTATATCACTTTCATCAATATGTATACCGTATGACTGTGCAAGATGATTAGATGTCGTCTTTAATGAGCCTATACCTTCGACAACTGTTTCTGTTTTATTTCAACGAACGATGGTATATCAGAGATGTCCATCGCGGCGCTGCCGCTGCCGCTGCCGCTGCCGCGCCGCTGCCGCGGTGGCGGTGGCGGCGCGGCAGCGGCAGGTTTTTAAAAAAAATCACCGCGGCAGCGGCGCGGTAGCGGCAGATTTTTTTAAAAGTCATCGCGGCAGCGGCGCGGTAGCGGCAGGTTTTTTAAAAAACCATCGCGGCAGCGGCAGGATTTTTTTGGAGGACATTGAAAAACTGTATGAATTTAATAGAATTTCACGATTTACAAATGAAACGCCCTGATATTGAATAAATCTGATGGACTAGTACCCATATCTCTGGTCAAATATAGTCACAGCAGTGAAATTAGAAACACTTTTTTGAAAATCGTCGCGGCAGCGGCGCGGTGGCGGCACGTTTATTTTATAATTCATCGCGGCAGCGGCGCGGCAGCGTTTCTTTTATAAGTCATCGCGGTGCGGCAGCGTCGCGGCAACATTTTTTTATAAACCGTCGCGGCGCGGCAGCGGTGCGGCAGCTTTTTTTTCTAAGGCCGCGGCGCGGCAGCGGCAGATTTTCAGCCGCGATGGACATCTCTGTGGTATATAGAGGATCAATTTTCACACTATCATTAAGCTAGTTTTCATTCGGTAACTTAGAAAGATCAACTATTAGCATGATTGAAGTAATACTTCCTGTAGTCTTTATCTGTTTGAGTAGTAATTGCTGATGTTTGTCCCAGTAATACCGACAACTACCGTGACGATGCTGACTAGAACATATGAATATTGGTATAATAGAGCTATCAGTCATCTATATAATTGTAATATTTCGTATCTGAAAGAAAAGAAATTCTGAGTAAAGTTTTAATAAACAGCCTCTAAGAATATTTATTAACATATAGCAGCTCATCACTTGAGCGTATAGTTCAGTCGGCTAAACGATAGATAAGTCTTATAACGTATGCATATTGGATTCTAATCTTTCTGCTAATATCTCTATTATTTAGATTAAGCCAATACATAAGACTACAACTCATTGTGTGCACGATTGCGGACCCTCGCATTTTTGTTATTTAAAATCTGTTTTAGATAAGTGTCACGACGGTCCAACATGCTTAGTCTTTGTCTCAAAAAGACTAGACATAACAAATATAATGATGTCTATCAATGACATAGTTAGCACGTGGGTTAGTCGTTTACTAAGATTTTGTGACAAAAGCCTAGAAATACGACTAGTCTTTTTACCAGTTCTTTACTCACTAGGATCGCTGTCGATATCGAAAAAAATCAAGAAGAAGCTAAATATTTTTCTAAGTCCAAGAACGAATCATTATTTTCAGTCACTTGAATCTCGATTATTTCCTGATCTTGTCTATAGCTTAAATATCTATATATACATAGTTTTTAAACAGATATCAAGATAGATAACTTATCAAACTGTATATCTAGCTTTAGAATATTATTTATTTCGATCAGTATTATTCTATTCATGTTTCCTTTTTTTGATAAATATTGTACATGAATAGTGGATGGATTTCTAGGTGGTGCAACAGTAGTTGGTTGTTTCTTTTTACGAAGTAAAGCATCAGATAATATTTTTCAATCAACACAAATAGATTGTATAGTCTTTTTGTTTTATATAATAAATATCTTTGATAAAAACAGAGAATCTTTTGATATTACTTATAGGTAATTCTAGTCACCGATGGTTTATTAGTGAATGATGCCATTTGATATGTTAGAAATAATGCTTAGAATTCTGTTCTCCAGTATTTAACGATCAAAAATTGAAAAACTAAATGTCTTCTTTTATTCAAACGCATCAATGATCGGATATGAGAATCCAATCATGAATTAGAGAATGACATATCAAAATGAATGAAAGATTTATAAATTTTCACCTAAAAATTTATACTTAATAGCGAAAAGGTAAAAATTAATTTTCAGAAATATTCGTTAAATAAATTATTTATTCAGCTTAATAAAAAACAAAGCTCTAAATAAGTAATGCATCAAAACTATTTCTTGGCATTCATGTCCGTATTTCTCTCATTTCTTGTTAAAAATTATAATCGTAAGTAGTGAGCTAAGCATAATCACGATTTTGAATTATTTTTTATATGAAATGTTTCAATAAAAATTTTAATTTATTTTTGTTCTCTATATACACTTCAAAATCTGATGAGATGAAAAATAAACAAATATTTATGGCATTACGTGGTTTTACTTTGATGCTTTTAATATCTTCTAAAAATCATATTTTCAGGTACCTTTTCTAAATAGTCCCTATTTTCAATCATTTTTTATGTGAAATATTGTTAGTAAACGTATTTTATTGATGTTTGTCTATTCTAATATCATTAGCAACCTAGATCAGATTTCAGCTCAAATAAATCCTTAATTGAAAAGAAAATAATTCTTTTCAATATCAATCAAATTTCATCGGCTTGGTTTCGTTCAAACTAAGTAAAAACAGCTAGAAAGTCAAACGATCTTTTACCTTTCTATCAAATATATATAAAGACAAATAGATCAAGTAATTCTGTGGGTTGAGTATAATGTTTATTAATAAACATCCAATATCTAATCCTGACAAAAGTAGTTGCTCCGCATGAAGTGTTATTATTCTTTATGATATTACACTAATATTTGGAATGCAAATGTGCGACAATAAGTCCTAGTAGCAAGTATCGATCTATCCTTGATCCATTTACACATCCTTTTCCCCTGAAAAAAACGTATTTAGTGGAAAAAATGCATCGACAAAATTTTTGTTCATCATTTTACTATTGTCGTTTTCTAGCGTTGAAGGTAGTCCTATATGTCTAGTGTAGTATCATCAAAGCTCATAATATATAATCAAGATAACAGTAATTGGTATGCTCTGAAATAGTCAATCCATGTCGTACACTAACTCAACTTCATTCAATGTAACAACTGTAAAACTTTCACAAAAGATTTGTTATCTGATCGAAACTTTATAGTAAAATTTTAAAATAAGTCTTAATGAGAAAACAATATGTCGATTATTTAAAAGTGATTTCTAACAAAATTCGGACTAGAGATGATCACAGAATGGATCTTTCAAATGAGAAATTGAACGAAAATATTTGTGGCAACATGTTTGAAAATTAGTTAATCACAAGAAAAAGATGACCTTGGAATCGTAATTTCAGTCAATGCTAACTGATTGAGAGTAGGTTGGTGTTTAGGATCAGGATTTATTGTTGTACGCATGCACTCGAACTATCATACAGAATAGTAGCACTTAATGAGATACAATTACTTTTGGTCAGAACTGTACATTATATTGATGATTTGAAGCACTTGTAATCGAAATAAATAATGTATTATTAGAATAAGTTATTGTTTTATTACTGTTGAAAAATGATGCGATTTTTCAAAGGTTTGTCATTATTGTTAAACTTCTTACTATTGTATAACAACGCAAAAAAAACAGTATTTTTATAAAACTGTAACCATCAGTTCATTCAAAGAGAACTTTTAAATAATTAACATGGCAATATCTACAATAATCACCTTTGGACTGATGCCGAAAAAATTTTCTTTTTATAAATATCTAACATTAGATTCCATAATTTTAATTAATATCAATGTTCAATAGTCAAAAGATGAGAGATTTTCTTTCATCAGATTCTATCTGAGTCTACACAGATTAAAACTATTCGTTTATTCATTATCATACTTTTTATTATTGAAAAAAAGATTAAATTACCATGTTATTTTATTGAATTAATTCTACCTCTTAAATACAACAACAGAAGAAAAAATCCAATAATATAAACTTATTAGTTAACATGATATAGGTATATAGATTTTTTAATATGGAGAATGAAGGTCAAGAATGCGTTTAGCTTTTCAATAAGTATTTGATTTCTATATTGGCTAGAAAATAATAATGATTTATTTCATTATTGTTGATAAAAAAAAATACAACAGAATAATATCATACTATTAAATTTATAATTTTAGACTAATAAATTTACTATTAATGATAATCATTAGCAAAAAATAAATAGTTTCCAAAAAAAAAAAAATTCTTAATTATTCATTTTTGAAAAATTTTAATAGAATGTTCAATGAATATTGAAATTCAATTAAAATTGAGAGATTATTTCGTTTCATATTAAAAATAAATACAATAGAAAATTACGTTTTATTATTATTTTTTCTATTTATTCTTTTTTATTTATATATTTACTATTTGTCTATTAGCTTAAAAAAATTGAGTATACTCTATCCCACGTATGTAATCATAGTTTAAGACTCCTCCATTATGATTACTTCTTTAAAGTCTTTTGTCCTCGATGCAATGCGAAAACATGTTTGTCGTTGTCATTCAACATCGACTAAATATTGCCTTGGAATGTGAAGTGGAATCGAATTGCAATAAGAAGTAAGAAGTTAAGGAAACTATACCAGATTTTCAAAATTACACACATATATATATAAATATCGACGATTTCACTCACTTCTTTTCATCCTTCAACAGTTTGATAATAATGCGTGTCTTTATTATTTTTCCATTTTTTCTAATGATTTTATTATTTAAACTACAACAAACAAATGGTAATGATTGTGTATGTGAATGTTGTACATCAGTAAATTGTAATCCTACAAGAGTTGGCTTTCGTCCTTTATGGTATTGTTCAGAAGCGACTACATGTACACAAAGTTATTGTATTGATTGGTATCCTGACCGTTGTCCACGCCGAAATGTAGCTGGTCAAACACGAGCAATATGTGTATCTAATGCTGAACGTATACTACCGGCTTTATTCATTACAATTGGTATTAATTTAATTCTATTATTAATTAAAGACAAACTTTAATAATAAATTATAAAAAAGACTTAATATCTATCTTTGTAAAATGGTTTTATATCCAAAAAATAAAAATAAAAATGATCATTGAACATTTAAGATATAACTATTCTATACAAAGAACATAAAATTTATATTACCGAAAAGATATAAAGGGAATTCGAAATCAATATATATATATATATTTGAACACGTGATACCTTGACATTTTCTTAACAAAAATGTGCTTGTACGTCTTTACCTTGGCATGTATATTGTACAAAATTCTTTTTCATTCTTTTTTTTTATTCGTTTTCTCTCACAAATCATCTCATATTGTTTCAATAGAATGAATATCTGGCGTATAATTATCTTTATCTTGTATTCATTATTGGCTTGTTTTTTAAGAGTATTTGTTCCAAATAGTATTCGTCGACCAATTCAGAAAACGGATTATCCACTTTGGAATACTACAACAATAACGACTCCTTATCGACGACCAATAACCATAGCTCAAATACGTTTAGATTGGCTTGAAAAAATGGGTCTAATAAAAAGAACATCAACATCTACAACATCAACATATTTTTTTAAACCACGATTGTAATTTGATGTATTTTTATTAAAACTAGAGAACAAATAAATATTCAGCAACATGCTTAGAATCTTTTTATATTTATTGTTAGTATGAAAAAAAAAAAAAGTTTTGCTATCATTTTTAGTTATTTGATAATCGATGTTATTTGAATAGTATATCTAGTTGTTATATTTGCTTGCTGTTTTTATTAAAATCATAAACATTTGATTAATACTTCTAATCATTTTTCTCAGATAGTTCAAAACAAAAGAAGCAAAATGTTCGAAATATTGAAAAATAAGATTAAGAAGAATGATTATAGTAAAGATAAAATATCTTGATACTATTAAATGAAGAAGACAAAAAATTGTTTTCAGATACTGAAATATTAATGCCATTGTTGATTAATTCATCACATTAAATAAAAGATCGTCAAAAATGATTCGTTTTTATTAGAGTATAGAAAAAAAAAATATTTGTGTACTCTTAACTATAAATTTCAAATATATCATTAAGACAAAGACTTCAATTTGATCTTTGCCTTTAAGTTCAAAACGATGTTATTGATTGAATGAGTTAAGTCAGACAGAAATATGTAATCGTTGTTTAAATAGTTCTATATCTTTAATTAGTTTTTGTGATTGACAAAATCATTCAATCGATTATCTAGTTCATCATTATACGTCTGATCGCTGTCTTACTTATTGAAACAATGCATGTGTTAAGCGAATGTCAATGAAATATTATGAAGAATGTTTAGCTTATTCTCTTGTCAAAGACCTTTCTTATGTGTAAGCGAAAAAAATAATCCATCGAAAATTTTCAATATGAATATAGATTTCTATATCATTTAGTATGAAGTCAATCAACATTCGACGATGAATTGAACATATGAATAACAAAAGAAAATCAATTTGTGTATCAATTCTATCTATTCCAAGATATGAACTATCAGTTATTTGTAATATTGATGATATATATTAAAAATCAGTATGGTAAATATAAAAAACAAATAATCTAATAAATTCATATTATTATGTATTATTGTATTTCATCGACCTGGAAAAAAGGCCATGATATACTTTCAACGAGGTTATATTGTTTCTTCTGGCATGCCAAAAGCATTATGTCCATGGTAATCATTTGACTAAAATATGACATTTTATGATGTTTTCAACAATGATATATCAATTATTACCAGTCTTTTGTGTTTCTTTTTTGAATTTATTCATCTCTCTCAAAGACTTTTTCATGTCAATTAATGATTCATCGAAATAAAGAAAGAAAGAAAAAAATAAAACTAATAAATACATTATTTTTTATTCTATTTGCATGAGTGTTCTGATTGTATCTGTACAGTTACTCATGTATTTATCAATAGTCATGATTCATATAATCACAAGATATTAACGATGACATCACTATATTATAAATTCACAACGTATATATATATATTCTTCTAGGTGATTGAAATGAACGAGATTTTTTAGTATGTAACAAAAATTACATTTAAATATTTTTTATTAATATTATTTGATAGGTATATTAAAAAAATTTTTTTGAACGTTTTTTATTATATGTATATTTATAACGTTCATGAAAAAATTGGAACATATAGAAAATATACAAAATAGTTTTTTCAAAATATTTCAATTGCAAAATAGAGTTTGTTTTAATATTGAAAACGATGATTTACCATAAGAAATACAAAAAAAAAAGGAGATTCATTATAATGAATTATAATTATCTACAATGAATAAAAGAGAAAGAAATTGTTTTGATTTTGTATGTTCAAGACCAAATGTTGCTTGAACAATATGTTGTGCTTCTGTATAATATTTTTTTGCCTCATCTAATTTTGATTGTTTATCAGTTTTATTTTTATTTTTTGATTTTCCATGATCATATTCAGCAACAAGTTTCATACAAACATCACCAAGATTTGAATAAACATCACAAACTTCAATATGATTGGCACCTAATGCTGTTAAAAGAACTTGTAATGCTTGTTTCATATGTACATAAGCTGTCGTATAATCATCTGTCATGGCATATGCAAGACCAAGAGAATTAAGGAACATTCCATATTTATAATGTTTATCACCGAATTCTTTTTTTATAATAATTAAAGCTCGATTTATATAATCAATAGCTTCATTATAATTTTCTAAAATCAACAACAAACAAAAAAAACTTATTTATTGATTATTTAATATAAAATTACAAAACAAACCAAGTTGATGTTGAACTTGTCCAATATTATGTAAAATTTCTGCTGCTTCAGAATGTTGTGGACCAAGTGTTTTTTCAATAGAAGTTAATGCACGTTGATAGAGTTGTAATGCAGTATCAAATTGAGTACGTTTACGATATAAATCAGCTAAATTATTATAATAAATACCTAATTTATAATGTTCTTGATCATGACCAAATGTATCATGTACAATTTGAATAGCACGTCTATAATAATTTTCAGCTCCATCATAATCAGCACGTTTCTTTAAAACTAAACCCAGTGAATTAAGAACTTCAGCTACTTCAATATGATTTGGTCCAAATGCTTTTTCTAATGATGTTAATGCTTCTTTATAAGTTCTTTCAGCTGTTTTAAAATCACCTTGCTGAAAAAAAGAAATATATGTAATAAATTAGTTTTCAAGAAAAATAAATTAACATACTTTTCGATAAATATCACCAACATTTGTAAGATACATTCCAACACTTGGATATTCTTCTCCATAATAATGTTTAGAAATTTTTATTGCTTGTTTAAGATAATCTAATGCTTCATTATATTTTCCTTCTTTTTTAAGTAACATACCAAGATGATTCATTATATCAGCAATTGATGGATGATTTTGTCCATAAAGCGATTCCATTTGTTTAAGAGCTTTTAAGTAAAGATCTCTTGCTTCATCATAATTCGCTTTCTTCCGATGAATATCTATATATTTAAAATAATATAATAAAAAAAAAAGGAGAATGAAATAACAAGATATTTACCAGCCAGATTAGATATAATCTCAGACCAAACATCTGAATTCATATCAACTATTTCAAGTGCTTTGTTATATGCTGAGATAGCTTGATCATACTTTAAATGAGATAAAAACAATATATGAAAGTCAATGAAATTTTAGAAAAAAAAAAAAAAAGATTTATTCTTACTTCTGAACATTTTTTAGCAACAAGTCCAAAAGCATTCAAAACTTCAGCTTTTCTTTGTGGATGATCCTCGTTTTCTAAAAGATCAAGAGCTTGTTGAAGTGTATCCTTTGCGTGTCCATATTGAGCTATTTTGATATATAAATGTCCTTTTGCTAAAAGTAATTCACTACGTTGAAGATTAGACTTTGCTACAGAATAAGCTTGTGTATATAATTCTAATGCTAAATCATAATGGCTATCATCTCCTTCGATTTGTGCTTGAAGAATCACTATTTCAGGTAAATTGTTCTTATCCTTGATCAATTGTAAACATTCTCTTGCATGTCGATATTCATGTTCGGTATAAAATGATTTTGCCAAATCAAATATAGCTTTATCAGTAACAGAATTTTTTTCTCTTTTATATTTTTCTAATATAGCTTGTAATTCTTCTAATTTTGCTCGATTTTTTGTAGCAAGTTTTTCTGGTGAATATTGACATAATTGTTTATGTTTTGCTAAATCAGATCGTGGTATTTTAGCTGGACAACCTTGTAATTTATATGGACAATCAAATTCCAGATTATCAACAAAACGTTGAATAACAAAATTTTTTGTTAAAGTTTGTTCAGTAAGTGTTGTTGATCGACAACGTGGACAATTTTTTGTTGATGTTTGAAGCCATGATAATATACATGCATGACAAAATAATTGATGACAACAAGGTGTTTCACGTACTTCAGTAAGATAATCGCAACAAATACAACATTCAATCAATCGTTGTATATCATTTTGTGTCGCTGTCATTTTGTTTTTGTTTTTCAGTGTGTTACACACACTAAATGCAATATAATAAAGAATAAAAAAACAATAACAAAACAAAAAAGAATCGAGTGTAAGATATTTTATAGTGTGCTCAAGTTCCTTTTTTTTTTCCTTTCTGTTTACTCAATTATTTTGACCCTGAAAATAAAAAGAAAACGAGAATAAGTAGAATAACTTTTTGGCAATCGATGAATAATAGTTACGTCATACATATGAATATGCGACAAGTAATAAGCATATTGATTCAAGGTCAAAAAGAAAAATACGTAATAATGACACTGTTTTCGTACAAAAAGAAGCGACATCAACAATATTCATCATTCAAAGTAAACAATATTAAGTGTATTATGAATAAAATCAATCAAAATTTTTCAGTACATTAATTGTCAATACATCAGAACGCAATTACAAATTTCAACATATATTCATGTCGTTGTTTTTTCTTTTTTACTTTACAGAACGATTAAATGATCTCGACTTCATTTAGCTATTTTGCATTTCATTTAAATATACAGAAAGCATTGACCTTTATTGAATTAAACATGAATTATGATTTGTCAAAGTAGAAGCAAGCACGCGCAAATATTAATCTCTATCTTTATTCTAATTAATCTTTTTCTTTCTATGCTTCGTCCAAAGGCCATCGGTAAATATAAAAAAAAAAAGCAGCAGAAAAGGCGAATGTCAATATATGATGAAATAGACATACACAATATAAAATGAATAGTATATGCATTGAAGATCGTATTATTGAATATATATATGTATATATGTGTTTTCAAATTTCATCTCTCTATTTATAATTAGATTTATGCGCATAAATATATATCTATATATATTTATATATATATAGAAATGAAAGCGGCATTGACCGTCGTCATCTTCTTGGACATATCGACATCTGTTCGTTGCTTTCTTGTTTAAATATTAAAAAAAATATATATACATATATATATATATATGCATGTGAGAAGCAACAACAGATTCACAGATGACCGATGAAAAAGGAAAGAAAAAAAAATTGCTGACCATCGAGCAAATACGATAGAGAATAGATT